ACACACACACACACACACACACACACACACACACACACACACACACACAAGCGTGCGCGCCAGTTCCATGTTACAGTGTTAAGGGGAAAGCTCTCCAGATAAACCTCCAATACTTTGGCTGACAGCACATTGGCAAAGGTAAAAGTTGGGGCCCGTGGGTGGGGTTGACCCCTCCGATGCCTCCAGTGAGCTGGAAGCGCTCTGGGAAGGACTTGCACCTGCCCACGTCACAGACTCCTGGGCTGACCAATCAAGAATTCAGTGCTCCATTTGCCCAAGATTACACCTTCATTTCTGTGCTCAGTAGAAGGTTGCTTATTCTTTTTTCTTTTTTGGTGTGGGTCTTCCTCTGGATTGTGGGGAAGAAGGGCTATCTATCCAACATCTACCATGTGCCAGATGTCCAGAAGTCCCATTCTGTGACTCCACAGTTACCCCTCAGGTTGGATTATTCCTTCTCATTTCACATATAAGGAAGCTGCCTTGAAATCCTTGCTCAAAAACAATGTATTTATAGGGCTCTATCCCCTCACACTCTGATACCTTAGGGTTTCTTGCAAGAACTGGTTAAAACACACATGGACATAGGGTGGAATCTCACATCTCAACGAACTCATCACAAGCCAGAAAGATCGTTACTGAAGTGCATTGATTTCAGCTCATCTAGCCCTAGCCCCAGCTCAATGTCTCGGCTCAGCGTCCCAGCTCAGCAGCACAGCACAGCTCAGCCTCCCGGCCCACCAGAGAACAAGGATAGTTTCCCCTCATGAACAGGGGGCCGACTTGGGAGGCAGCTCCGTGCCACTGCTCACTATTCAGAAACGTGACCAGGTCAGACTGCATCAGCCCCTCAAGCATCCAGGGGCGTTTCCCCCATGTGAACCCCTGGGGACTCTTTGCTCAGAACTAAGTGATGGGTCCCACAGTGTAGATGCCAAAGGAATCAGCTGGAATAGAAATCAAGAAGCCATCAGGAATCCTCTCAGAAAAGCAAGGACTGTGGGATAGATGAGGAAGAGGAGAGGCAATGAGCTCTAGATGGGGCTCTAGCACTAGCAACAAGAATGTGCATACACAGAGAATCCAGTCAGAGTGAAAGAGAGGCCATCAGTTTCTACTGATTTCTGCTGATGGCCTCCGCTGAAGGGAATGGGTGGCTGATAAAAGCAAGCAAGGAGAGGTTGCCCACTCTCTTCTCGACCTTGTGAGCTTAAGAATGTCTTTACGCCAATTCTACACCAAAAGGAGACACGAGCGAGTAGGGTTGCCTGAAGCCTGTGTGGCAACCACTAAGTTGGCCCATTTCTAGAAACAGAAGAGCAGCCGTGCTCAACTGAGCCCAGTGCGATCATTGAGAGGTGTGGATTTCTCCTCCCTGTTGCAGCTCAGGGTTGGAATTTCAAAAGGTAAAAGAAAATGGAAAGGGATGGAAGGAACAGAGCTGGGCACCCAGGGCTGTCTGCTCTGTAGCCTGAGGTATTTTAACTGCTAGTGTCTGATTTTCTTCATTTTTGAATGGAGGGTTTCTTTTCATGCTTCATAATAAGACCCACAGATTTGATGAAGTAGTAAATATGAAGCTGGTCACCTCGGGCCTTGCACTGAGTGGCTCCTTCTTGGCCTTCTTCTGGGCTCTCAACCATGATACTCCACTGCAGATCTCAGGGTGTTGTTCTAGCAACATTAGAAATATTTTATTTTTAAAAAGAGCTGTAGACAGTTCAGTCAGACAACATCATACCTTGGTGTGTGTGTCCTGATAAAATGATTATTGTAGATCTCTCTCTCTCTCTCTCTCTCTCTCTCTCTCTCTCTCTCTCCTCTCATGAGATCCACCCTCATCTCCACAGGTCTCCAGGACACAGTGCAGAGCAGTAATACATACTTCTCCAGCTCGTGCCTCTGTTCTGCTTGTGAGACACTGAAGGCACGTGCTAGTTACCAATGCCATAACATGAAAAATTAGAAGGAAGGAACACATGGGAAATCACAAGCTTAAACCCCAACCTGGCTGATTCACGGTGAATCAGATTCATGAATATTTCAACAGTTCTAGAAGTAAGCTCTGTCCTGCCATCTCCTGTAGCCCTCAGCCACAGGCCACCACTGGGTGACTTGGACCTTCTGCCAGGTTGTGACTGCTGCCCTTGGGCAGGCTTTTTGCTCAATGAAAGGGTGAGCTCAAAGCCCTCAGCTCAAAATACCATTGGACGACGGAAAATACCAGTTGCTTTCTAAATCCGGACCTGGGCTTCTCTGGTTTCACTTAGGCACCCGCACACACTCAATACTCACTGTTGTGTGGGCGACCAAAGATGAATGTGTGGGCAGCCTCCCCAGAGCCAGTGTGGCACAGACGTGCCCAGCACAGCTCACAACAGCAGATGCTGTGGCCACTCAGAAGTTATCATCTTAGTGTGAAATGGCCATTCTTTAGAAAGATCTACATGGAAGCAATTTAACCTTGGGAAAGTCAAGCAAATGTCACGGGCGATGGGGTCACCCCCGGAAGCCATGAGGACAGGCTGCTGGAGAATCCTCAGGGAAAGAGCTGGCCCTCTGTCAGCGGCAGCAGGGAAGAACTTGCTTTGGTCATGAATAAAGATGATTTCTCAGCGAGAATTTCTGCGTACCACGTGATTGTGCCCCTAATAAAGCAAACCTTGTTCTGGGCAAATTAATGAAGCCAGCCCTGTCTGCAGAAACAGAAGCTGATAAAACCTTTCCGGAAAAGCATGGTGGCTGAGGTCACCAAGTTCAATGCCATTCGTTACCTTGGCATTTGGAAAAAACTCAGAGGTGCCCAGACTGGCTACAAATTCCTCTTATCCCCACGGCTCCACCTCCAACAGCCAGCTCACTCTAAGGGAGAACTCCAGGCAGTGCTCCCACATTCCCTGCTGGTCGGTCAGTTTTCCTCCACACAGCTCAAGTACAGCTTTGAGGACCAGAGCGACTCCAGCCTTCTGCCTGGCGCATCAGCTCCTGACCTGCCCCCTTCAGTCTCTGGGCTCTTGCCGGCCCCTTCAGGCTCTGCTGGTGTGCTCCTTTCACTAGGGCAGGCCACATGGTTTGAGTGCTGCTTGATGTCCCCGCCCCCCAGGACTGTAATCACACTTCCTGATGACCTGCTGTTGGAGCCTTCCGTACCACTTCAGGTCTCAGTGGTTTGGTTTGGAGGAGAACGGGCCCCGTTGGGCCATATGTTTGAATACCTGGTCTCCAGTGAGTGGAACGGTCTGGGAAGGATTAAGGGGTGTGGCCTTGCTGCAGGAAGTGTGTCACTGTGGGTGGACTTTGGGATCTCAAAAGGCTTGTACCATTTCTAGGATGCTCTCTGTGTCCTTCTTGAGGAAGACGAGGTGAGTTCTCAGCCTCCTTCGTCTGCCACGGTGGACTCTAGCCCTCTGCAACCCCCAGCCCAACACGTTATCACGTGGCCTTGGTCACGGTGTTCTGTCACCGTGATAGAAAAGAAACCAAGGCACAGCTCATGCCTTTGCCCACCTTCACAACTCCAGAGTGGTAACTTCTCATCGACAGACAGTAGGGTAGATAGGAAGAGACTGAAACAGTCACATGTATCAAGTTTTAAGTCTATACGCTGCTTAACCTCACTTAGTTGCTCAAGTCACTGCTAACAAAATATTGTTTTAAAGTAGTCCCAGGGCCAGGAAGAAAAAAAAATCACATTTATTGCGACATTATTTGTAAAAACGACAGCACAAAAAGAAACCACGTAAATAGCCATCCATAAAGGAAACTCTAAAATAAATTATGTTAATACCAAAGAGAAATGTAAAGACTCTGAAGTGGCTACCGCTAAGGAGCCTGTGTGACACGGTCCCCCGGTATTTGTCACACCTGCCACAGTGCACGCTGACGGCTGTGCAGGAGGGTATGCGCACACCTGCATGCCAGGAAGACTGGGAGGGAAAGGGCGAATGGGTCAAAGGGCTTGCTCTTTGCATAAACAGGGAGCAGACAGTGGGAGCCTCCTGTTTCCAACTCGGAATTGTATACTATTCTCTTCGACAGTGAAGGTAATCTGGCTTTGCCTCCCTGCAGGAGCCTCAGCTTTAAGAATACAGTGCAGGAAAAGCACGTATAAACGCCTTATAGGCCCACAGCTTGCCAGTGCTGTGGTTTTCAGGGAAACTGATCAATGAGCCTAGCTTTCCCTGAATATCCAGCAGCCCAGGCTGTGGACACTTCCGGGACTTGCTGCTAAGTCTTGCTCTTTCTGGGCTGTTTATTGCCCCCAGGCTCACTATAGAACTGCTAAGCAGAGAGCCCTCATTGGTATTTTCTATGTGACGCGTGACTGAGTGCCACGCAAGCTGATTTATTTCTGGAATTGCTCCGTCGAGTCTCAATGACCAGACGAATGTTATTTATTTAACATTAACTAGGGCCTCGTGTGTGTGTGTGTGTGTGTGTGTGTGTGTGTGTGTGTGTGTGTGTACCCATATATACATATGTACATGTATTACAAACAAAAGTACTGTCATGGCCAACAGGTACACCCAGATGGCTACAAATAAGTTTCTCTGTGCTAAGTACAGAAAAAAGCCTTGAATTAAAAGGTAAATTGAATTGTGCATTTTCTGTTCCTGCTCTCTCTATAGAGCAGGTAGATACACAGAGCAGGTCCTTCAGAGAGTTACCAGAGTTTAGGCCACAGGTGTGGCACGGATGGCCAAGGTGGGCGCGGGCAGCCCAGCCTCGGTGGCCGCTCGGGAAAGGCTCTTCCCGGCCCCAGCCGCGCCCGTCCAGGGACAGATCGGGACTCACCACGCTGATGCCGTCGTTGAGCAGGGCCTCCCCGAAGATCATCATGTAGAGCGGCTCGTTCACGCGCGCCTCCTCGAACACCGCCAGCACGGCCACCGGGTCCACGGCCGAGATCAGGCTCCCGAAGAGCAGGCTCTGCAGCAGCGTGACGTCGCCCAGGCCGAAGGCCCCGACCTGGCAGACCAAGTACAGGGACAGCCCGATGCCGAAGGCGTTGACCAGCGCGCCCAGGCCTGCCCACCACAGGATGGAGCCGATGTTCTCAAAGAACGGCCGCGTGGGCATGAAGTAGCCGCTCTCCAGCACGATGGGCGGCAGGAGGTACAGGAAGTAGATGCTGGAGTCCATGACCGGAGGCGACTGGTGGTGGGTGCCGGAGATGACGCCGCCCACCAGCGCGCCCACCGCGAGGAGCAGGCAGCTCTCGGGCATGAGGTGGGGCAGCCTGCGGTACAGGTGGAACCCTGCGAACACAGAGCGCGGTCTCAGTGTGCCCCCGAGGGCCGTGTCCAAACTCGATTCTGCTGCTACCTCATAACTTTGGCTGCTGTTATGACTTCAGTGCAAGTGTTTGGGGGAGACAGAGGCTGGCCTTTTGGGATGGAGAAGGCATGGCCGGCATGCAGGGCGTCCCGTCAGACGCAGAGACTCGGGGTTTTCGGATAAGAGCATGCGTGTGCTAACATCGCTAGCACCAGTCGCGGCCTGCGGGCGCACCCTTCCCTGCTTGCTGCTTCTTACACCCGGGAAAAAGAGACGTGGAGGAAAAGTGTGCATCAGCAAAACCCAGCGAGGAGCTCAAGCAGTCTGACAGGCCACTAGATCTCTTTTTGTCCCACACTATCACAGAAGTAAAACGTCTTTATTCTCCCCCACCCCCAACACACACCTAACTAATGATGTTGCCAGCCAGGCCCACTAAGAAGGAATTAGGGTCATACTCTCATATAACACCCGTGTTGACTTTGCCAGTTATATAGTCAACCCAGATCTCTTCACTCCGTTTTCCTTATCTATCCCTAAAATCCATCCCTTCCTCCTCTTTTCTATACCCAGGGCCTCTGTAAGTCCTCACATTTCTCATGCTGTTGATTGCACTGCTCTCTTTAACTCCTGCTATACCTTGGATCTTAAACATCCTCTCAAAATCTGTTCTTCGGTTACTGTGCTACCCTGTGGGTGTGCTATCAGTAGACAGGTAAAGCCTCTACCGACAAGACCACTGTGTCTGTGAAGACCGTTGTGTCTGGGGAGTTGTTCCTGCCCATACAAGGCATGCCAGGATCAAGCCAGCCAACGTCCTAGTGTGGGCGGGTGAAGGGCAGGCCAGACCGGCACAAGGCATGTTTGGTTGTTGCCCTTGAAATTCTCCTCTCCACAACATGAAATAGCAGAGGTGGCGATGGTCCTGGCAGACACATCTCTCCATCACCAAGAGACGGTCTACCGAGCTTGGGCAACGGTCACTTGGGAAGATCATTAAGAAAAACTTAGAAGATGGTTTTGTGCCATATCATGGAGTACTTGACTTTCAAATTGATGTAGTTTTCTTCCCACAGATTACTGGGGAAGCAGTGGATGTCTCCTTGGAGAATTTTATATTTAGCTTTACAAAGAGAAGATACGGGTTTCCCTCGGAACTATTTTGAATGGATCCACTGTATACAGGCAGGCTGACGTGTGACTATTTCCAAAGGATGCCACTCAGTCACACTTCACTGGCGTTAAGGCCTGTTCAAGGTCATTTCAAGCCCTGGATTCTCATTTTTCTAATCATAACTTTCTCGGCCTCCTTCTTTTCTTCTCCACCTTTGTCTTTCAATTTGTGTTTATTTCAATCAAACTTAATTTCTAAGTTTGTCCCATGGACATTGAAGAGCCTGATGTGTTTTACCCGGCCTGTGTTTCACCACTCCGGCCTTGTTTCCTTGAACTGAAGTTCCCAAAATGGACCCAGCATCTACCTGCCTTAAGGCAAACTGGGCGTGGGGCCCTGCAGCAGGAACAGGCCATGTTGCAACGGGAAGTACAAGATGCTTTTTACACTTTAGAACATTTGTCCTCTTTCAGGAAGGACAGCAGAATCACAAAGTCAGTTTTTCTCAACTCTCACAGTATCAGTGCTTGAGAGGAAAATAGAAAGAATAAAGTCCCAGAAATGGAAGACTGCCCTCAATGCCACCCTTCCAGATGGTTCCAGTTCTTGTAATATTCCAAGAAACATGATGGAAATGAAAGATAACTCACAAAGTCAGAAGTGCCTTTAATTGTTTGTGTTCTATAATGTCTGTGTTTTTATAGTTAGGTATTTAAAAGGAATGGGGGACACTTTGATATCTTCCTGTCACAGGGCTGACTAGTGAGTCCTAAGTTAACCCCCTACCCTGGTTAAGCTAGATCCTTGAGGTCCAACTTGCTTGTTTCCAGACACTGCACAGGTTCTCAGCAAATGCACCTGACTAGGGGAGAAATAATGGTGATAATGGTGATAATAAGGCTTAAAATTGTGTTATTATTCAGAATCTATAACTTAATACTGCTGGGCATTCCTTAAGTGTTAAAGTTTAAAAATCACCATAGTTACCATAATCTTCACAACTATTACTATTTATCTTCCTATAGAATATTGGGCCCAATATTTGGCTCAGAATATGTATTTAATAAATATGCCTCTTTTCTTTTTCTGTTCCCATATATATATGGAGTACAGAATTATTGAGATTCCTGAAGACTAGCAACTATAAAAATCATTCTAGAATAAGTATTTTCCAACTGATGATCAACTTTAATAACTTTCCTTTCTGAATTCACATTGAGTTACATCGTCATGAAACTCAGCAGCATTTAGCCAAGAGCCCCTTAAGCAGCAGTCCCCCCCCAGTCTCTTCATACTTCTTGACAGTGAATTCTGAACATCCTCAGCACATTAGAGAACAAGCAAACACAAAGCAAGATGAACTGGCCCCTCCCCCACCTCTGCATGTCCTTCAGGAGATTAGGGCACTGCTTGTCAGCGACAGGTCTGTGTCCTAAGTACCCAGACCAACTTTGCCTCTCATCAAAAGGAGGGGTGGAGGGTTGTGGGAGAGAGCAGGGGAGACAAATCACACTCTCCAATACTTATAAATAGGCACAAAAGTATCACGGGAAAACACTTTGCACATTCTCATCATCCATCTGGCTAGTGACAGGCACCTGCCCCTGCTCGGAGCTGAGCACAGTTCTCAGAGAGCCGGCTCTACTCATACTCTCGCACACAAGGGAATGCACTTGTACAAGCTGACCATTTAGCAGGTTGTTGCTGAGGTATAAGAGTTGCCTGTGGTTATTTCAGCCCTTGATTCCAAAGAAGCATAAGCCTCTTGGAAAAAAATAGCTAGAACCATCAACAAATTACAGTTATGTGGCTAGAAATGAAGGAAGACTATTTTATAAAAGAGATGTTATTCAGTCTCTGGCATTTCCAGAACTCTGTATACTTTACATTTTTCCTATCATTTCAGACACCGAGCATGAGATTTTTACACGACAGAGAAGTGGTCATCTTCCTGAAATCTGGAGTCAAGACAATGCAGGGCCGAGAAGTATGCATTTAGACTTCCGACACAGTCCTGAGGCTTTAAACAGCCCTGGCTCTCTATTGCCACCAGGGAATGTAATTCTAGAGCCCTACAAGTAACAGTTAATGTACACTTAACTCATCACTCATCTATGAAGACATGCATACATGACACCTCAGGTAAGAGCAATCCCCCCAAACGTGCTTGATGACTCACCAATCTTCGCGAGGGATGCCAGCAGTATCCAGAGTGTGACTTCACAAGGAATTTGAACGTAGTCATAATCCAGCTCAAAAACAGATATCCTTGCATCCGGGTCTGAGCTGGAAGCAGCAAACTGAGCGTCGGGTGCCTGCTGGGTGGAATTTGAGGACTCGTTCACATACGATGATGCTTCCAAACATGTAGGGACCATCACCAGCGGCAACCAGTGCCAGGAACTAAAAGCCACAAGCATCGCAAGAGCTGTGCCTGTGGGCTTCTCATCACACACCTGGGTGTCGGTGTGTGCCATGCCTCTGATGCAGGGCGGGTCTGCATTCACATCACCTGACTGACAGGTAGTGTATGTGCAATCCGGAAGTCATTCCCAGCCGAGTCCTGTGAGGCTGCAGGTGCATCCTTTCAGGCCCTCTGAGAGCCAGCCATGTCCAGCCAGCTCAGCTTCTGGCTAGAGTGTGGGCTCTAAACTGAGGACCTTCATCCGCCTGTGACTCGAGGAGAAACCTATGAAGGGAAATCACTCTTCCTTCAACGCTCTTTCCCTGAAGCACTGAAGTCCTTTAATTAGGAAGGGAATCCTCTCTGCCCTCTTAGATCCCAGGAAGGAGCCACCTGTCCTGTCCCGGCTCCTCCTCACCTCCCGCTCTATCCTCACCTGTTTGGAACCAGGCAAAGCTGCAGGTAGCTCTTGACCCACACTTAATTATTTGCTTTGATCTGACTTTGGGAATGAAAAGCTCGCTCAGAAGGTTCCTGCCAGGCTACACACTGCCACCTAATGGGAGGCTGCAGGATAGCACCCTCTGGAGTTGGCGACAAGCTGTTGACCATGAGGTTAACATTCAAACCAAGGCAATTCTGGGGATGAAGAGCTGTTAATAACTGCCTTGGGCCGTGAGGATAAAACAGGACAGTCCTGGTGACCTTTCAGATGGTTTTCACAGACGGAGGAGGAGGAGGCAGAGGCAAGGACCAGGAAGATAGTGAACACTGGAGTTTCTGGCCAGTAGTACATGGAAGAAACAAGGATATCTGTAAACTTAACCAACAGTCTCCACAAAGGGGGAAAAATAAACAAGAAGTTGCATGAGTGTATCTGAAAACCCAGCTGTGAAAATGTTCCCAGGATCCTCAAACTCCATAGGCACCCATTTTATTATTGTGGTCTGTCTGTACCAAAAAGAAAGAAAAGAAAAAGTATCTGCATGGACTGTGAGATCCAGAATGGATTTTGTCAAAGATTCTTTATCTGGAAGTGGGTAATTGTATTCATTCCATGGAGGAGCAGATATGACAGTTGAATAAATAAATAAATAAATAAATAAATAAATAAATAAATAAATAAATAGAAAGAGGAGGAGAAGGAGGGTGTAGAGGGAAAGGAGAAGCAGCTTCAGAAATCCAGATTTTCCTACAGCTTTAATACGTATTCTCCTAAAGACAGCTGAAGCAAGGACGTCACAAACAGCAAGCAAGCTGTGGACAAGGCCACGGTGCACCTCTCTTGAGTCTTCCCTGCTGGCGCTCCTCTCCTGACAAGAGCACCTTGCAAAACCACTTCCTAACTTCATTTACAAATGGAAATTCTTTAAGGCAGAAGAAAGAAAGGAACCGAATGGAGGAAGACATAACACAGCCACAATGTGGACAGAAGGGTGGATTAGTTTTACAAACAGACCCTACATAGGCTCTGAGGTAACAAAGACTGATGGGAGGAGGGAGGGATGTCTTAGAGAAATGAAAGGGTCAGTCATCCAAGAAGATGCCCAACAGGGTGGAGCACACCTTGACATAGAATCCAACATCAGTGAGGATGACAGGGTGAGGGCCAAAGTCATACAGATCATTTAGGTGGACTGAGAGAGAGAATCGGCCCTTGATATGATAACCCCCACAGGCAGCAAGTTACTGCCCAGTCAGTCTTGGTCTGACTGTTTGCTGCTTCTGTTGGACGCCTCCACGTAGGCTCTACGCAGCACATTTAGGCAATGCAGAAAAGGGTACCCGGGTTGGTTTGAGAAAGTAAAATTCTTTCCATGTGCATACGATATAATCTTTTTTATGGAGAATCATTAATAATTGACTAAAAATCTGTTAGATCTACTTGAGGAGATTTGTTGCCAGGGCTGTGAGAACCAGATCCTGGGCCCTGGCAGCCCTGAGGAGCTCAGCTCAGACGCCTGTCCACTATTTCAATTAGACAAGCAATCATGAAGAGAGGGGAGAGGAGATTTGTTCCAGGCTGGGGAAAAGAACAGAGAGGTCCAGAGACCCCGCCCACCCACTACATCGTCTCCCCAGGTCCTGATATGATGTTTGATTTTAACAAAGGGCAAGAGGGCACATTACTGCCCAGTCTTATCAAGGTATTCTTTGCCCATAATTCAGCTGTCAGTTGTCGGGTCCCTCAGCACTCCAGGAAGGAGGCCTGACATATGAAATCTCTTTCCTGGAAATAAGCAATTCCTCTTCCTGGAAGCAGGCTTTAGCCTTTCTGGGGAAATTCCAATTACTGACATCCGAGGAAGCAGGAACCATTTTCTCTTAAGAACACCTTCACAGCTGTTCACAGTCATACTTTTTAGATGGCTTTAATTCTTTTAGTTATTTATTTTAGGGCACAGTTTAGAGTTCACGGCGTTGGCACATGCCTGACTCTAAGTGCTTCGTGTGAATAATCGTTAGAGACACGTGAACACAAGCCTGGACAAGCGTCACACTCAAAGGGACAGAAGAGCAGTGTGCACTGCCTGCTCCGCCTACCACCTTCACACACGTTTCAATTCAGGCATGTTGAGAAGGGTGATTTTTATTACACAACAGGTTCAAAACAGAAACGTAAACGTGACCTGGCCAGACGCTTGCTGCTGAGATGGTTTTCAGGGCCCAGGGGAGCAGAGTAGGTTTCCCCTCATGCTGTTTTAGAAAGCGTGAATTAAGAAGCAGCTGGTTAGACAGATTCTCCCTAGCGGGCAGCAAGATGAAGAGGTACTGTGTTCCTTGGTTAGCAAAATGACAGTAAAGTTTTCCTTAACCCCCTCGTCTCTCTATCTCCAATGGCTCAACAGCCACAGAAGGGCAGACATTTCTGGCTTTCCTGTTACGGTAGCCACCCGAACAGCGCAGCACAACACTGTCTAAACTGATAACATGACTGCTCCGTGGTTAAGGGGAAGGTTCTCACTGTAGACATGAAAGAGAGAAAGCAGAAAAAGACGTAGACTGAAGCTGGCCAGCAGACTGGATCTGGCCAGGAGAGAAGCAGGAGTGGAGCTGAGAAAGGGAGGGGATGGAGAGGGCTTAAAGAAAGGGAGATCAGGAGAGGGTGAGCACCCTGAGAAGCAGCGAAATTATAAGGAGAATGAATAGGTAGGGGAGAGAAGCCAGTGGGCTGCAGGGAGCACGGGGGAGGGGAAGAGGTGAGAAGAGCCAGGATGCCAGCCTGTGGAACAGGTGCTTGAGAGACTGAGGGAGCCGGAGGCTGGCCTGTGCTTTGATATGCCAAGAGGCACCACCGGTAGCCATTTGTCCAATCTGCCCTTTGGAATTTGGGGAACTGGAGCTGCCTTTGGACCTGATAAATAGCAAATGTGCTGAAAAGAGCCATAGCTGACCTGGGCCTGTCACACAGATGGCACAGTGTTAAGGATGATGGACACTCACTGGTGAGACAGCTTACGGCTGGAAGCCAGAAGGAACAGCTTCCAGGGCATCCTTGCCTGAGGCTGGGGATCCCGGAAGGGAAAACAGACTTCTGAGCTCCTCCGACTTGAGTGTCCCCACCTGGAGGCTAGGGGTGCAGGTGGAAGTAGCTAATCCCTTACGGACACAAATCCGTCCTGCTGCGAAGCTTTAGAGTTCGACCTTTACACTCCCGAGGTGGAAACAGCTTATATCCATTCCACAGTCAGCCAGTTTTGTCAATGATTTTACCGTTACCTCCTCCTAAAGGGCAAGGTTACAGCAGCCTTGATAGGGCTCTGTTGAGGCCCATTAAGGCAAAGCTATTTCCTCCTGATTAAAAGAATGGACTCTATCTCCAGTCTTGGTGAAAACCTAATACTTCAAACTCCTAGCCAAGGGACCACCCCTCATGTGAAGAAAGTGGGAATAATTACTTCCTAGTAAGATGAAGTACCTTTCCTTCCCAGAATCCCCACCCTGGGTGCACCCATTACAGACCTGCCTTGAAACTCTGTCTGCCTTCCAAAGTCTTGTTGGGTTTTCTGTTTTGTTTTATTTTGCTTTGCTTTTAACTTAGTTTTGAAGGTTTTGTTTTTGTTTCGTTGTTTCGTTTTGAGACAGGGTTTCTCTGTGTAACCCTGGCTGCCCTGGAACTCGCTCTGGCCTCAGCCTCCCCAGTGCTGGAATTAAAGGCTGCACCACCAGCACCTGCTGTGCCTCCCCAAGTCGCAACTCAGAAAGACCAAACTTTCTCTTTTTCTTCTTTTCTTTCTATTTCTTTGGATTTTAGTCAGAACCTACATCTACTTTCTCTGTATTTGAGACTTGCTTACTCTTTCTCTGAAGCTGCCTCCCTTCTTCCACGTGGCTGCTTGCTGAACTCTCATGTCTGACTCTAGAAACATGGTTGTCCTCCTTCCTCTTCCACCTCTCCTTCCCCTAGTAGAAGCTGAGACTGCCCGCCCTTTGGATATCAGAGTATTGAAACAATACTCCCCAAGAAATTAGAATTTCTTATAATAAGAGTAATCCAGGTGGCTCCGAATTCTGAAAGACAAAGCCAGTTCATCAAATGACAGTTGCCCAAATGCTTCACAATGAAACCAGGTGGGGCTCCAGACTAAAAGCAACGCAAAGCCTGAGGTGCACTCTCTCAAGAGTCACAAACTAAGTCCATATATTCTCAAGTCCATATATTCTCAAGTCCATATATTCTTCACTTCATCAAAGAAAGACATCAGTTGGTTGATGTCAGCTAAAGAGGGAGTATAAAGATTCCAGAATGAAGCGATTATGGAAGGTGCATGGAACCATTTGATTTTTTCCTCTTTGTTGTCAGACAGCTTCTGAGTGTCTGAAAAAAAAAATGTGTCTTTTATCTTAGCAATAGAAAGGGTAAATTTCCCCCTTTCTGCTTTTCTGTCTCTTTCTTTTGGATGTTGTGTCCCATAACAGGAAGGGAGTGTGGTGCGCTCATGAGAGCTCCTCACCGTGCTGTGGCTGGAGATGAGAGGTGTAAGCACTGTGCACAGCCCTTTCTTTCTTCCCTGTTCAGCCAGTCTGGAACCGTGGGATAAATCCATTCGCATTCAGGATGGGTCTTTTCTTCACTCCTCCTGTGAACCTCTCTGGAAACATCTTCACAGACGGAAGTGTGTCTGCCAGGTGGTTCTAAATCCACTTAAACTGACAGTGAGGCTTGACTGTTGCCTGAAGGAGATTTTAAAAGAAGCGTGCACAGAGCAGGTAAATAAAGTGTATTTGAGCCTCATGTCTGACAAAGCTTTGCAGCCGCCTGGTGCTCATGATCCAACAGTCGAGATGACTTTGTTGGTAGAAAAGGCTGCCCTGTTCTGACCCCGCTCAGAGCCAGTTGTAATCACTGTGGTCCTAGCCATAGGCTCGTGGAAACTGGTCCACACAAAGGGTCCGGTGGTGAAGAAGGAATGATCAGACTTCCCTGTCTGCTAGATACCTTATAATTTAGGTTACCATGTCCTGTCTGCCCTCCTGGGACTAATTGAAGGTGGTACACCCTGCGGGGAAATCTCAACCCTCCAGGGCTTCAGCTACACAGCGACAAGCAGTGATTTCGGTGGGGAGGAGTCTTCCTTTTTTATTTTCTTAACCTGTAGCCCCAGTGCTGACTTCTATTTCAGAGATACTCCTGAAGAAGAATGATTAGACCTCACATAATTGTCTTCACGATCATGTGAGGCATTAGAAAGGTGCAACCCTCCTAAAATAGCTTTCAGCACCATCAACACCACTTTCTGCCACAGTGTTTAGCTCTGTCAGAAAATATTTGTGTAGTGTGTCTGTCCCTAAAGCATCCTTTGTTTGAGCTCTTGTTTCCTCATCAAAGCTGAAATTTCTGTTCTTTTTTAGGAAGAAGGGAGACGGGGAAGGTCCACGATAGAGAACTAGCTGGCAATATCCTGAGAATGATTCTCTTTCCAAGTCCTCAGCTAGCAATTACACTGTGTGGTCTTGGATCAGCTTCTGCTATATTATCTCCCTAAATTGAAAGCCTGTACCCCAAGCTGGAGAGGAGTCAATAGCTTTGACCTTGCCTTCAGGACAAGAGAGTTGAACTCTGTCCTTTCAAAGTCGTGCCTCTACAGCTCAGAGAGACACAGCTCTGGTGAGGGATAGAGCCAACTCCAGAAACACCCCAACCTGAACAGAAGAGGATGTATCAAGGTGGGTGGAATGTACATGAATGTGAGCCTGCAAAGGAGGCTCCACCCATCACCAGACTAACACCATTTTCTTATAAGTCTAGTGTGACAATTCCCTATGGGAACTGGCTTTTATCTGTCTATCTATCTATCTATCTATCTATCTATCTATCTATCTATCTATCTATCTATCGTTTAATGAGACAGGGCTTCTCTGTGTAGTCCTGGCACTATCCTGGAACTAAATCAGTAGACCCAGCTGGCCTCGAACTTAGAGATCTGCCTGCCTCTCTTGTGTAGGGATTAAAGAGGTGCACCACCATGCCCAGCCTGGGACTTGGTATTTTTCGAGAAGGAGACACTTGAAGCTGTGTGACCTTAGACATGTCTTAAACCTCTCTCTAGTCTTGGTTGTATTTTTGATGGTGGTGGTGATGATAAAGTTGATGTCTTTGGTCTTAAAGATAGGCTTTAAAAAAGTAAGTAAAGTAAGTGGCAACAGAATATAGGAAGTCCATCATCCACAGTACAGCAAGGATATCATCATATTGATGGTCAAAATCTCCCATGTATGTAGAGGCTTTACTTCTCTTAGTATGTTGTTTGTCCTCAATGCAACTGACATTTATTGAAGTTAAAAAAGCTTTAACACGCAGCCTATCCCTTTACTCTGCCCGAGCACACTGCTACCGGTTACCCTCAGGCAGAGAACATGTCACAAGGACAGCAGAGCCCAGAGCAACAGGCGAGTTCACAAGTACTCTCGCCCCTCTTCCCAGGGTGGAGTCCTCCCTTCCCACCTCAGCCCCCCCTTCACCACACCCTCTGTGCGGGGGAAGGTCAAATAGTTCTCCTGCTGCTTCTGGGACGATTCGCGCTTTTCTTTCTTGCTCCCGTTCCCTGAGAGTGATGACAACATTAAAGTTCATGGAACACGGAGTTTCACTGAGGCGGTAGACAACAAACGCTAGCCTGTGGAAGAGGCTTTTCTTTGCCCAGAAGAACTGTTGTTTGGATAAATGCATTGATGGGCTAGTGGGATGCAGGGAAATGCTGTGGTCGTCATAGCCCACCTTCTGTAGATACATCAGAAGATCACTGCGTAATTCATAATGATTCATAATTCAAAGATTCGTTGGCTCCCAGGTCTGTGCACTGCAAATCCAGCATCAAGGGGCTGTCTTCTGGCGAGGACCTTCTTGTGGCATTACACCGCACATGTGGAAGACAGTTTATGGTGAGCCCGAGGGGCCAAGAAAAAGAAAGAGCAGGAGGAGATCAAATCCAGGTGAGTCTGTTTACTCCAGTGAGTCTGCTTTACGTCGCCTGTTTCCGTGCGGCATGCTGAAGTATCAGCTCCAGCTGTCATAATTTATATCTTATGTCTTAGTTTAGTTTATGTGGCTTAAACGCCAGAAATTTATTTTCTCCAGAAATCTCTTTTCTGCATATTTCTCACTCTCTTTTTCTGTGTGTCTCTGTCTCTCTTTCTCTCACACCCACAAACACACACACCAACTCTCATTTAACTAAGAAAGATGCTAAGTTATCAATACCATTTAGTGTGTTCTATTCCTTCAAGAAATGCCTATGCTCCTATTCACAAAAGGGAACACTACATTGATTCTAGCTCTAAAAGGAGGAGGAATAAAAGCTCCGGAGAGATGTTGGAAAGCTCGCCACCTGGAGTAAGAAGTCAATGTCCCGTGTGCAATGGTGGATTCTTCTCAAAGATCTTTAGTCATGCGGCACTCACTGCACAGCCCAGAGCTGCCCTGACACAGACCGAGGTCCAGAGCAAGAAAGACAGGGCAGGGATGCGGGAGAAAGAAGTCAGAAAAACATGGAGGGAGCTGGTCACCCTCTCCGCACAGCCTGAACTGCCTCAGCTTCCCTAGTCAAAGCTCTTGAGAGCGCCCGGTGGCAGTCTCCGAGGAGAGCATGCAGCATGTAAGGGACGGGAAGAGAGGTCTCTCTTTTGAGGGTCTGGACAGCTGCAGCAAGCCTGTGGCACACGGAGTTTGCTTCTCTTTCATTACAGTCCAGTGTGGGTGGGGACGCCCTTCTTCTCCGTGTGGCCCCCAAGTTCACAGTGTCAGAAGAGAAGTGTGTAAAGATTTGACTGCCCCATGTTGTCCTGGTCTAGAAATCGCATGCCACCTCTACCTACCTCCTAGGAAAAACAAAAAGAGTCATGTGGTTTGCTGAGGTTTTCATCCCGGAGACCCACGAGTGAAGGGTCTAACCTAGCACCAGGCCTCGTCACAAGGTGAGTCATGTTCATATTGGTCCCTTGAATTGAGGAGGGGAACCCTACCGCTGCTCATTCTTCCTACTTCCCAACCATGAAACAAGCAGCTTTTCTTCTCTTACGAAGTGACGCTTCACCACAGGGCCAATTTAAGGACTAAGCGTGGAAAGAGTCCTCTATGTCATCACAGAGCTGTCATCATAGAGTCCTCCATGTCCTCACAGAGCTGAAGTCAACAGATCCACGCGGCCCTCTGCAAGGGCACCTCCTGAGGGCATGCCAACTGGTCCTCAGTGGTCTAATGGCAGTCTACAAACTTCCTGGAAGGCCACTCAAAGAGAAAAGGCTTATTGCCTGGGAAGACTGACCTTTCACCCTCTAGCTTGAGTTCAAAGACCAGTCCACTGTGTGACCTTCAGGTTGACACCACTGACAAGCAGAGGTCAGTCAGGAGATCAGGAGCAACAGCTGGAAGGGCAGAATTCCAGTCCTTAGCTGGGCTGCACAGTTCCTGGCAGTCTTGGGGAGAGGGCCCCTTCCAAGTTGGCCTTCCTGTTTTCCCTCTGCCCTGAGGGGCTCCTTGGAGTTCTGCTGTTCATAATCAGTCTCTTGTAATGGGGAAGTGGCTATTTGTTTAGATTAAAACTTACTATTTTTAAGTTGCTGGGAGCCTTAGTTTGCCTTTTGTTGCCGCGATAAAACACCTTGAGCAAAAGCAGCTTGACAAGGAAAGGGTTTATTTCCAGAGTTCCACATCACAGTCCTTCGCTCAATGAGGACAGGATTGAAACTCAGAGGAACCTGGAATCAGGAGCTGACGTAGAGGCTGTGGAGAGGTGCTGCTTACTGGCTTGCTCCTCTTGGCTTGCTCTTCCTGCTTTCTTATAGCAGATGAGACCATCTGGCCAGAGGTGACAGCAGTGAGTAGATACCTCAGCCATCAGTGAAGGAACAGCCTCCCAGACCTGCCTACAGACCATTCAGATGGGGACACGTCCCAGCTGGAGCTCCCTCTTCCCAGTGGACTCCAGCCGTGTCAAGTTGTCAAAGAACTAAAACCAGGGCGCTGGGTGATGTCCGTCTCCTGGTTGGACAGAAGCTGTGACACCCTGGATGACAGGCAAGCAGGTGATTTCAGGTACTGGTGACTGTTAAAGCAGCTGCCACAAATATCTGTGTGTTGGGTTTTGGTGTGAACATAGTTTTTATTTCTCATGGAGTGGGACTTGGGGATGTGATCTAAGTAGATGTGCATGCATGTTTAGGATTGTTAGGCTTTGTAGAGAATTATCTTGTTCTCAGGATGTGACATCTGTTGGTATCTTGGTAACTTTTTCTCATGTGGGCATTTCAACTACGTGTTAATTAGAGTTCATGTATTTAATGTAGCCTCTTGCATTTCATCTATGTTTTTTTTTACCAATTTATTATAAAGGAAAGCCTGCATCAAAATCAAATTGTTTCATTAAAAATGATATTAATAAAATGCCTTTAAGTTATTGTTTAGACATTGAATATTTAATATCAGCGTTAATCTGTGTGGGTCTTCCTATCATTTCACGGCCATGCTTCTTCTTGTTTCCTCGTTTTTTTCTTCATCTTATTTTCTTTTTCCTACAGTAGTATTCTTTTATTTTGGTTTTGGAGGAAATTTTATTATTTAATCTTGTACAGTTTTGTTGCAGTGTGAACAGTCCACACTAGCTGCACCTAGACGGCCCATCTAGGGTGTGTGAGCAGTTTCTCCCTCTACACGCAGCGTGACGAAACCGATGTCCCGATGGGAGTGACACTGCATTCCCGCCTAGAAACGACTCCTCCTCCACCCTGGCCCCGGACCCGGCAACCACCACTCTAGCCTCTGCCCCTCGGAATCTGACCCTTTCAGAGTCTTCATGGAATTCAGTGTTTGTCTTCTCATAACTGGGTTTCCGTTTGTTTGGTTTACCTACTATGTCCTCCACATCCATCCACGTTGTGGCATAGTGCAGAAATTCCTTCTTCTGGGTTGAGTAGGATGGCGCCATCTGTCACGGCTTGGCCAGGTTTGTGTTTTTGCTGTTTTCTTTCAGGGGCAGCCCAACGGATGGAAGCACAGTACTGCGTTGCTTTCTCATTCTCCTTAGGGTGGGCGTTTCGCCTCCTCAAGTCAGACGTGCATGCCTCGCCGCTGGATACGGCCTGGCCGAGCTCCTGTGTGGCAGTGGAGTCTCTGTGCCCACACTGAAGACATTTTCAGAGCTATCATAATTGGTTTTTGCATGTACCTTTACATGTTCACATCTGTGTAGCACACACACGTGTCCAGGCATATGTGTATGTGTGTTCCGGTGTGTGTATGCTTGTGTATGTATGCACACGGGTATGAAGGTCCTGAGTTCTTGTTGGGAGTCTTCTGTGATGATCTCTGATTTGTATTTACTGAGGCAGGCTCTCTTTCGCTCTCTCTTTCTCTCTCTCTCTCTCTCTCTCTCTCTCTCTCTCTCTCTCTCTCTGAGTCTTCCTGGAGCCTGCTGATCCCAGCTAGGAGGACTACCGGCTCGTTTGGGGATCCTGTGTCTCCAGAGCGCTAGGCTTAGAGATGGCTGCCATATGTGCCCCAGCCTTTATATGGTCGCTGGGCATTCAAAGTCTGGTCACTTGGGGTCCCTGTTGCTGTGACAAAAACATCATGACCAAAAAGCAAGTTGTGAAGGAAAGGAATTATTGACTTACACTTCACATTCCATCTCTGAAGGAAGTCAGGACAGGAACTCACACAGGACAGGGACCTGGAGGCAGGAGCTGATGCAGAGGCCATGGAGGCTGGAGGCAGGAGCTGATGCAGAGGCCATGGAGGGTACTGCCTACTGGCTTACTCCCCATGCCTTGCTCAGCCTGCTTTCTTATAGAAGCCAGGACCACCAGCCCAGGGACGGCCCCACCTACAATGGGCTGGACCCTTCCCCATCAATCACTAATCAAGAAAATGCCCTACAGCCGGATGCTACCAAAGCATTTTCTCAGCTGAGGTTTCCTCCCTTTAGATAACTCTAGCTTGTATCAATTTGGCATGAAGCCATCCAGCACACCGGTCTTCTCCCATGTGTAACACACTTCCTGCTGGGATAGCTCTCTGCCCTCATGACTGTGAACTTTCTGAGCACTGGCCTTACTATGCTGTGCTGTGCAGCTTCACATCTTGTGCTGCTGTTTTGGCAGGAAGGTGGGAGGAAGGCCACAAACTTCAGCCAATCTGTGGCTGTGGTGTCACTGAGTTTGGGCACCCCTTCCAAACTCACCTTCCAACGGCCCTTCCATTGTTTATTTTCTGTTGTGGTTGTTTGTTTTTGAGACAGAGTCTCACTTTGTGGTCCTGGCTCTTCAAGAGCACACTATGTGGACCAAACTAGTCTTAAACTCTCAGAGATCCACCTGTCTCTACGTCTCCAGTGCTAGGATCAAAGGTGTGCACCATGGGCATTCCCGGCGACCTGCCTGGAAGTGCAGCTGTTTTATGACCAAATGCATCAGATTCAGCTTGCTGACAAGTCCAAGAGTTGTGAACAGCCTTGCAGCTTTGCTTTCTAATGCTTCTGTCTGCAGTATCTATAGTATTTTGTGGCTTCATGGGTCCCCTCTCCTTTTCTCGGTAGTTTTCTAGCCAGGATTGGGGTTTATTAACCTCACTCTCCAATGGACATTGCACACTGTAAAAGGACATAGAGAAAAAATATCGATAGGAGCTCACTATACTCTGTAGGAACCCAGCTCCTTAGACCTAAGGGCACAGTTCTCAGTCCTTGGAGAATAGGTTGCTGAGTATCTCTAGTGGCACGCTTTTCTTGAGGCTGCTGCTTCAAACCCTGCATTGTCTAAGGTCTGGGCAGTGACTCACGGAAGGGATAAGAAAACGAAGAGAAAGGACATGGAGGAAATTCTTCAAGCTTTAGCTGAAGCCTTTTGGTAAGCCCTCTCGCTGTCATGAACTGGGTTGCCTGTTCTTGATCACTTCCCCCTGGCTGAGTGCCCTTGCACTCAGAACAGGGAGTGCAACAGGGAGAACTCCCCCTTTCAGTGAACTAGGGGAATGGGATGGGGGAAGAGTGAGGGAGGGTGGGACCGGGAGGAGATGAGGGAGGGGACTATAATTGGGATATAAAATGTAATAAATTGTAAAAAATAAAAAATAAGAATAAATAAATAAATATAAATAAAATAAAAAGAGATAGGTTGACTCAGTCTAGATCAGTAGACAAAAAAAAAAAAAAATGGAGAGAGATTTTGATAAGCTCTGGATTCTTGTTTTCTTTAACCCGCTTGTTATTGTTTACTTTTCAAGGTCCTCAAGTGAATTTTTTTACCTTCTCAAAGCTTAGTGTTATTTATCATTGTTTATGAATGTACAGGAGAAGGAGAGTGCTCACAGATGCACATGAAATGGCAGGCAGGGTCGGAGGACAGCTTTGAGAACTTGCTGTCTTTCGCCTGTATGTGGGCTCAGGGGACTGACATTAAGTCACCAGGATGCCCTGAAAGTACTTTGCCTTCTGGATCAGCTCGCCGACCCTCAGTGACTGTTCTCTGCATGGCCCCAGGCTTTATGGCTGTGATGAGAAGGGTACTGTCTCGGCTAGGGTTTCAACTTCTGTGACAAAACACCAGGAATGGCTTTGAGTCTGTAGTCCAGCTTTAGGACCCTGACACCCAGGTTATCACCATATGAAAATAAGACATTCCAGGCTGGGGATTTGTCCCAAACAGTGGGAAGTTGCACAAAATACAAGTCCCGTTATGACTGATGAAGCTTCTCATTTATCTGTAAGACATGACTGTAACACCATCAGTGCTGGGTGGGGCTAGAACACAGCTGTAACCTTCGCTGGCCCTGGCAAACCTCGGGTTGACATATTCGCAGTTTCAGTGAATTGGGGAGGGAAGGGTTTATTGCAGCTTAAAATTCTCAGGTCCATTGTCCAGGCGAGAAGAGAGCTGGGAGAACAGAGGCAGGAAAGAGATCGGGGAACAGTATGGAAAGAATGAATCAGACCTAAGATTTCACAAAAAGCAAGTATAATGGGTAAAAATCTAAATATTAGGAAACTATGAGGGCTTGGAGGTTTAAGAGAGAGTAACTATTGCCCAGCATTGTGTTCTAGGTTAATTAAATAAACCCAGTCTCTGGGTGCTGATTTGGTTGCACAGCTGTTTAGGACTAACAGCATCGTAGTTACCAGAAGATACATCAATCGTAAATATTAATAGTCGCTTACAACAGAGTACCAGCCCGGAACCTGAAAGGCAGGCACTGAAGCAGAGCCATGAGGGTACTGTTTATTGGTGACCTACCCATGGCTTCTTCCGCCTGCCTCCTCATTGATGACTCCCACATTGGTCACCAGTCAAGAAAATGTACCACAGGCTTGCCCACAGGCCAATCTGGTGGGGGCATTCTCAGTCAAGTTTCCCTCTTCCAAAATGATGTAACGTTTATCAAGCCGGTAGCCGGGACTGTATGCATGTATTTCATCTTACTTGACACGTCAACCTGGGAGCAACATAAATGTCACGGAGAACCGTCTGGTGGACCACACTAGGTGCAAAAGGGTGTGTCCTGGAAGGGCAGCATCCAGACTCACATGGGGATGCTTTTCATGGGGAGATGAAGCGCAGTGACCATCCTATCTGTGCAACAAGCATAAAACAAGAGGCCAGAAACATGGCGCTTTTCTAGAAGGTGCAATCAGAAAACAGTGCTTTGCTCTCACTCTGCTGAGTCCAGCGGCTCAGCCACAGCCTCTCCTACATAGGAAATCTGTTTTGGCTAATATGCATGGGATGAATATTACTCATGTTTCATCCTAAATGAAAGTCTGCCGTCTTCACTAGACCTGGCTATGGGAAAGAGGACACTTTGTAAACACGCACTGGGTATTTCTGCTTTCATGTATGTACAAGTCTGAGACACTGTAAGGCCAAAGGCAGGACTCTGGAATCCTTGGAAGCTCAGACATCTTGGAACAAGATAAACCTGGCTGCACTGGCCAGAAGAGGTTTCTAAATCTGCCATCTCAGAGAGGCTAGCAGGAGACCCAGGAAACCTGGGCACAGCCAGGGCATAGCAGTTCCACAAGTGTGGTTCCTGGCCACTGCAGGACGCTTCCTCCAGGCCCAATTTATACCCTTCGGCTCCTCCTTACTTCTGAGCTTTCCAGCCAGGATGCTACTCAATGCCAAAACCATGGTCGTTCTTCTGATGTGGTTCTTCTGCAAGGAAGGTCAGAGGCGCTTTCACACAGGCAGCAAGTCGCCGGATGACTACGGCCGACCTGCTCCGCATGTGGGTCTCATTCGGTCCGTGGGTGTGACTCCTGACATGTGAATCGGTTCATAAGGGGGCTGTCCACCAGGAAAGGGGGCGCCCGAGGGTCATAAACATCCACACCAAATTAGAACCCTGTTTTAGCTGCAGACCAACTTATGAGAATCAAATCCAGCTAATCAAAACAATGGGCTGGCCCTTAAACCCGTCATGTTGTTATCAAGGAAGACTTCCACTAAGACCACTCAGTCAGGTGGCGCGCGCACAGGGCGCCACCCTCAGCAGGTAAGTGGGTCACACAGGTGAGGTATCCGCTCTATTCTTGCCGCCTATAAACTGAGGAGTTATAACTGATGCCCTGGACTCAGATGGACTGTCTCGGTCTCTCCACCTCGTATGTAACTGCTAATCCCTTCCTTGTCTCTCAGGTGGACTAATGATCTGGGCCTCATTAATCTCACCTTCCAGAGACATGTGGTGAGACTTTGAAAGGTCTCTGGTCGAGGAAGCAAGGAGAAGTTGCAATCGGCTCTATCCTGTTCCTAAATCCAAATCCTCTACAGACTCTATCAGCCAGCGGGAGGGCAGTGTCCTGCTACCCACACGGCAGAACTCGACTCAAATGTTTGGCCCTCCTAATGTGGAGCTTGCGTCTTTAGTCCAGAGCTAGGGGCTTGTGGTGTGACCTTCCCTCACTGTACTGAGCAGGGCAGAAAGCACAGCTCTCACGCAGCCCCTCAGTCAAATGGACTGTGGCCACAATTCTGCAGCGTGCTGCCAGGCTAAGACACAAGCCCACTAAGTGCATTTCTGAGTGTGGATATTTTCTGCCAACAACGGATTCCACTCACATTGTCCAACTGCAGGTCTAGAAACGCGCCCCTAGCTCATGCCTCCAGAGGGGTCATTTCCCACAAGGACCCAGGAGGCCCTGTCTGTTCTGCGCTGTTTGTCTCACCTTCCCTGTTTCCTCTCTGTAGAGCTGATGAATAAACATGCAGCAAAATTTCTTTACAGAAAAACATTACACAGAGTTTCAATCACTCATACCTAATAAAACAGAATCACATTTATCTGATTGCACACACACATACATTCTCACATATATCTGATAAATTCATACACACAGTACAAAGCAGGCACTCGGGCATGCTCGACAACGCATGGAGCTGATACTCTCTGGCAATGTGAGCTGAGTGCCTGCAGAGGTCTGGATACCCTCCCTCTGGTTCCAGGAACTCCGACCCCAAACCTCAGCTGCTGCTTCATCCAGCTGCCTGCCAAGCTGGCTGGGCACTGAGCAAAGGAGGAGCCAGCTTCCTACCAGCCGGGTCCAGGCAGCAGGCCCCACCCATCAGCACTTCTTCTGGTGGCTGGAGAGGAGGGGTTCCTGCGCTGGGCACTCCTCCCACTGGCTTCTGTCCTACCAGGTCCTTTCCGGGGGAGAACCCCCTCAGGATAGCTCTGAGCCTATTGAACACAAACCCACTGGAGTTCTTCACAGGCATATGGTAACACACTTGCATCCAGAACCTGGAACTAGCGTGGGCTGACTTCACGCCTTTCCATGTGACTGTGGGGAGAACCCGCAGGGCCTTCTTGACAAGCTCGGGTAGAGAGTCTGGCTCTTGGAAGGAAGAGAATTTAATTAAAATCAATTTCAGCGTCTGATCAACCAAGGCAAGGCTCACTGCTGCTTGTAGCTCAAAGATGCAGGGTCCGTTGACATAGCTGGGACTCAGGATGAATATTCCTCTTCGGCTTTTCTTGATGACACTCACAATGTCGTCTGCGTACACTAGAGGCAAATCGATCGACGACTTTCAACTGATATTATTAAAGCAACGTCCAGCCTCCCACACACGCCTGGCTCCTCCTGATCTAGAAGCTCTTGGGTGGGAAAAGAGATAAGGAGAAAGGTTCCTCCGCCCCTCTTACTGTCACCGCTCCAACACCCAGTGACCGTCCCTGGACTCTGCCTTAATAATCCACTGTCTAAACCACATAAGTCACATTGGAACATGACTGAGGGATATGGTATATCGACACACACGGAAGGTCACTAGGCCGTCTGAATCCTGGGTGCTTCCGTGGGTGACATCCAGCTGAGATGGCTGCTACACCCCATGCTGAGAATCTGAAGAGCAATGTTCTAGAAGCCAGCAAGGCCATCTGTTCCAGGTGAGAGTGATTATTTCCCAAGAAGCATCCGGGAAAGAGCCCCTTCTCCTGGATGGCTTTCCCAGCACCCTCTATTATTCATTATTCTCCTGAAAATGGATTTTTTTTTTTTTTGGAAGACAGAGCGTGTCTCTGGAACATGCTTTTCTGTGTTCTTGCCAAAGAGGATCTAAGCTCATAAAAAGCTAACATGCAGAAGCTGCATATGTCCGCCTATGCAGAAGCTGCAGAAGGGGCAACAGAAAAGCTCTGGCTTGCTCTCCGGGTTCTAGCGGGCTTCCGGGCAGGCCAGACCTACCTCCTCCAGGAGTCACATCTCTTTCAAGCAAACATAAGCTGTATCCATATCTGTTTTCCAGCACTTCTGGGAACAGGTTCAGGGCCAAGTGTTCCTCACTCACAGATCCGGTGCCCTCCCTCTCCGGAGAACTCCAGTGTGCATAGGATACAAAAGCATCAAATTCCTTCGTATCTGAGAAAAGGGAACAGGAAGCGTAACCAATGCTCTCTCTCTCTCTCTCTTTAACTATCATGGTATCTAGAGATGCTTGGAGCAAATGCTAAATGGGTATGAAATAAGATTTGGGACCATTACAAAGAAGAGTTAAAAACAAAACCAGCAGATGTGCCCATTTTAGAATCATACCACTACGTGGCGTGGCTTTGATTGTCCATATAAAACTGAATGGTTAATTTATGAAGCTTCCTGTGTCCTCTCTGGGGCTAGATCAAACAGCTGGGCCCATGACTAAATCCGTGGGCTCCGGAGGGCGTCTTTCTTTGCATCCGCCGTGTTTCTGGCTCATTACTTACACATCAAAGGGGAGCCTGCTCCATTAAAGTGTGATGATAACCAGAAAGCAAGTTCTGCTAAGGCCCGCACCCCATATCTGTCGGGGAGAGCTCGGTGTCCTTACAGCCCCACCCCACCAAGTGGCAGCTCAGTCAGAAGCGGGCACAGGTGCAGGGAGGTCCCATAAGACAACCCCAGAAGCCCGTCACCCAGCGCTGCCGTGGCCATTACAACCCTCCCATGTGTGGGGCTGCCGGCGAGGCCTGCTCGTGCTCACCATGCACGTCCGGTACACAGCACCGAACAGCACGCAACTGTGGGACTGGCCTGCGGTTGTCATTCCTGTAGAACATACGCCCACTCCTAAACACTGTTTGCCATCTGCGACACCATCAGCCGCCACACAGACCTGGCATCTAACAGGTCTCTTGGCTGGACTCGTGTTCTCTTCCACTTAAATTGAATGTTGGTTGTTTGACCTATCTAAACCTGGGAACATTGGGAGAACAGCTACAGGTACATACAGTCCACCTGTGTGTAGTGACAGAATTATATACACGCCCGTAAAGCTCACAGCCTAGTGTGTAGTACGCGACACCTTCTAGGCTTACACAAGCATGCTGTATTTTGTTTCTGCAAAGAAGAGCAGCCTCAGGTGCGTGCACCATAACACACGCTTGTCACGAGGTGGCTCGAGACAGAAGCTCTATCTGAATCTCTTGAGTGTAAGGTGAGGCCCCTGGAAGGCTGCCAAGCACACGTGTGGCCTGAGGCAACACAGAGCCGGGCTAGATCCCCCCCCCCCCCCCCAGCTCTCCCCTTGTGTTGAGAAGCTGCATTTACAGAAGCGCCTTAGGACGCCATGAGGGCATCGGGTGCAGCGGGTGGTGATGTCATCAGGCAGATCTGCGCATCCCACAGCCTCTGCCCACAGTGTGGCTACAGGTGGCCACAGTGTGGGCAGCACTCGTGCCCAGTGGGGCCCGAGGAGAGGCCCTTGGGATTGAGTTCCAACCACAAACAAGACGGGGTGCAGAGCCCCAGTGTCCTAGAGGCTGGTCTGGGAGGTGCTCAGTCGCCCAGATGGGAAAACGTGGGGCGGGGTCTGCAGGTAAGAGCTGCCGTGGTGAGATGACACACCACGGCTGCCTGGCTGCCTGGCTGCCTCTAGTCCTTTCGTAGTCTTGTAAAATCCCACGGCTCTCTATTACTTAGGACTGCACTTATAGACTGTGCTGACAGATGGCCTGCTTACGTCCTCCTGATACCATTTCTTCCTAAATTAACTTTAAATATTCACAATAAACTCGTTGGCTTTCATTTTGCAGAAAAATATCAGTTTGACCAGCAGAGGGCGCGAAGTCACTGTGCTTGGAAACTGCTGCAAGCAAACCACATGAAGAGAGGCCAGAGGACAAACTTGTCTGTTTCCCTGTCAACTGGCTCCTCTCCATAAGCTCTAGAATCTCAAGGTAAAAGCCGTATTAGTGAAAGAAACGGTGTCACCTTCAGCAGATTGCGTAGACATAAAATAAAAAGACTAATGAAGCAAGCCAAGAGTCTGAAAAACCATTGTCTTAAGGATTTCAAAGGGCGTTACCAATACTCTACAGATGAAGTGTGTGTGTGTTTCCTTCTGCTTTCTTAGCTTGGTTCTGGGTGATTCTTACTGTTTTCTGGTGTTGGGAATTGAATTCTTTCTCCCCTTTCTGGATGATGCCTGTGAAAGCCACTGGCCTCAGGAGCCTCCCAGTGAGCGTGTTTATCTGGCAGGAAGGGCTTCTGCCCCAAGCAGCAGTCATTCACCGAAACTGCGAATATGCTAACCTGAGGTTTGCTGGGGCCAGCAAAGGTTACAACCGTGTTCTAGCCCCACCCAGCCCTGATAGGGGTTATAATCATGACTTATGGATAAATTGGCAGAAGCTTCATCAGTTACAGAGGGACTTACTTGTATTTTGTACAATTTCCCACTTGTTTGGGACAAATTCCCTGCCTAGAATGTCTTATTTTCATGTGGCGATAACCCAGGTGATGGGTTTCCCAAAGCCAGTCTAGAGAGTCAAAGCCAAGGTACAGCCGCTCCTACCGGACTAATCTGAAGACTGTGGCTTCATCTCTCTTTGTCTAAGGAGCTGTGTCTAACAGGCAAGATACGTGCTCCAGTCCTCAAGGGACGACCTTCACACTGAATTCTATGCACTAAGTTACCAGTCTAAACACACTCCGGGTCTAACCTCAGTGAGCTCCCACGTCATCCTCTCTGCCGTCACAGCCCTGTTTTATGGCTGAGGAGACCAGGACATGAAGCCATCACTTGCTGCATTTTCTCAGGCTGATTAGCCGAGAGAAAAGTCCTACAAATCCCACAAAGGTGTCCTCTACAAGGTTCCTGTAAGTAGAATGAACCAGAGCTTTTCCTCCAGTCTTTCCTCCATGTAGAGCCAGAGCTGGGAGAAGTGAAACTGCAGGGATAAGCCGCCTGCCGGGCACTAGCTGCCTCTGACTTCCTCCCTCTGATGGAGCTCTCTGGCCCATGTGAGATCACACCGAACGATGTGAGGAAAGAAAGCCGGGAGGGAGGGAGAGGGAGAGGGAGGAGTGTGGGTCTTGTCTTGTGCAAAGTCAGAGAACAGCATGCTGGGTGATCGATCTTACCCCTCGGAGTGCCATCCTTGCTCCTGCAGATTCGACACAGCAGGACAATTTCAATCCAGTACCAGTAGAGCAAGGCAGCTGCCACCAGAACGCCAACCAGCACCACAGCCGTGCCGAGGAGGAGGGGCACGAACACGGCTGAAGGAAACAAGGACTGTGAGCGAGCACATCTGGGCCAGCACACCTGGGTCCGTAGCGAACGTCACTGCTGCCGCCTGCATCGGTCTCCAATCTGAGGACATCTTAGGAACTGTCTGTGATCGACGGTAGAAAGCCAGGCGGCATGGGAAGGCCCTGACGGGGCGGCCTGCAGCACTTAGCCCTTGTACTTATTTATACCCTGTGAATGTCTTCACAGCTCACCTGCACCTTTCCCATTGCCTGTTATCAACTAGCCCTGTGCGCTCTCATCCCTGCTGAACTCTAAGCGTCCCTGAGCCAGAAATCACTTGGCTCCATGGTCCATCTCATGAATAGCTACACTGAAAAGCCACCGTCATAGCACACTTGCATTGTCACCCTAAGTGACACTTAGGGTTGCTTGGTTGTGCTAGAGTCATCGTCTCACTGAGGAAGTGAGGACCGACCCCACAGTGGCTCCGGACACCGTACTAAGGATCAAACTGCTCCCGGTGGACAATTCTACTGGCTGTTTCCGTGTTTTCTGGAGGCCAGCTAGGGCAAACAGCAGAGCAGGTGAGGTCTGAACTCTGGGCCTGCCACAGTGCCTTGTGGGGCCGGAGGGTCCCGTGGGTGCCAGGCAGCGAGTGAGCTGATTCACTGCTGGGTGAGTGGATAAGTGAAAAGGGCAGATGAATGGGTGACGAGGTGAAGGCACCACATGAGTGGGCTGAGCAACCAGCTCTTTCATTACGAGTGGCCGGTTAAGAAGCCTAGGTCAAAGTCAGCTGTGTGACCACGGGCAAGGCTCTAAACCTAGCCCAGCCAACGCTTCAGCGTCTGGAGGGCATTCTCCACAAACCTCGATCGATGCTGTGCCCTGGGGAAATGCTCGCTCTCTGCCAGGAGAAGAGCGGTGGATCTGAAGAAGAGGGCTCTGGGCTCACCTCCGTCCTTCTTCCTCAGCTGCACACTCCGTGTTGTGTTCCCGATGGAGTTCTGGGCAAAGCAAACGAACTCTCTGCGGAGATCTCGCCATGTGACTTCTCTCAGGAAAGCGGTGGCTTCGATGACTTTGCTCTTGGCCGTGGAGTCGGTGCTGGAGAAGGAGGAAAACAGTCCACACCCATCAGTACCGTGACATTGGATGGCTTGGCTCGAAGCTCTACAAGCTTCCTTTCAACTGGTCAAGCTCTCTCCCATAAACTCTGGGTTTTATGAGCATCACAGGCAACGATAAATGAGCTCTAATTATCCTAAAATGTTGCCGCCTGCTCGTGTTCTTAGATGAGGCTCGACCCCAGTGGAAGCTGCTTCACCAATTCCCTTTTTGTCGGAATCTGTGTCATGGTGCCAAAGACTGGGTGTGGCAGGCACCACCCTCTCCCATTTGTTTTTTAACCCTTTCTGGTCTGAGGATTTGGCCTAGTAATAGAGTACATGCAAAGTACAGTGGAAATCCCTGGTGTCAAGACAGAAGAAGCGAGAGAGAGAGAGCACTTGGATGTGGCTCAGTGGGTAGGGTGACGGTCTAGTATGTGTGAGGTCAGGGTTAGAGCCACACGCAGAGGGCATGGTGACACAGGCCTGCAATTTCAGCCCTCAAGAACTTCATCCTCATCTACGGACAGTTTGAAGCCTGTCTGGAACACACGCGACCCTGTCCCCCAAAAAAGTTAATTTAATTTAAAATACTTTAACATGATCTAGGATGTCTTAAACCATTGAGCAAGCAGCACAGTAATAACACGGCAACATGGCCCAACATCACTAAGTGACACAGCCTCAGGGAAGCAGCGCTGTGTGTGTATGCCTCCAGCACTCACCACATGCTGAGTAGACCTAGTTCACGTTAGGGCCCATCAGACACGGTCTGCCTCCACGTCTTAAATTAATATGATAGATGAGAGATAGGAGATAAGAAACAGATAGATGATATATGGATGGATAGATAATGGATGGGTGGGTAGATAACGATAGATGATAGGTAGCTAGATAATAGATGGATAGATGGTAGATAGATGGTTGATAGATGATAGATAGATACCTAGTTTGAGTCTCCGTGACTAAAGTTCACGATCTTTTTCTTTCCTTACCTTTTGTTTTCAGATTCTAGGAGCTCCCACTCCCATGTAGACTCTTTGGCATACCACCTTATGACAGGCTTTAACTCTTTTTGGAAGCCAAACTGTACTTTGCAACGTAGAGTTAAAGACTTCCCTGAAAATGCAGAGGTCAAGAAAACAGGAAGAAGCATATCAGCACACTGATGTGACAGGGAAACGCCCAGAGGCTGCATCAGGATGCAGGCAGGTGTGAGTCGGGGTACCAGGATCAGCCAAGCATGTACACCCCACTAAGCTACCTACTTCCTGCTGTTTGTCCCGTGCAGCTAAGCTGTGCACCTCAAATGTGCAGCAATGTTCCTAACATGAGGAAATTCTCAGTCATGTCACTAGGGAACTCTGTGAGCAGCTTCACCTTCCACCAGTCTCTACATGAGGAGTGTGACACGGCCAGACCGTTTTACTAACTGAATGAATGTCGGAGGCTCCCAAGAATGGAAGTTCATGGTGGGAAAGAAGCCCACACACCTCACACTGAGCCTTCCGTGAGGCGGATTAACGGTCAGAGCCTCAATGAGGGTGGAAGGGTTGGAGTGCTCAGGTCCACAGTCTTGCTGCAATGCATCCTGGGCCTTCTTACCCTCCTGAGCCATCATTCCTTGCCTGCCCCCATGGCTGACTTAACGTCTTTACGATAGTTAGGATGTATTCGAGTTCTGAGAATGTATTCGTAGTTGAACAGACCACTGGCTTCTGCCAAAGCGCTGAAACTGTGGCTAACAGCTGAGCTGTCCCCTGAGGCTGCACACATGTATCTGATCTCTCCCCCAGTGCTTTCCAAACACGCGCTGAGGTACTAGTTTCTTTTTTCCATCACCACAAACTTTGTGAAACTGTTATCACATTGGAACATGAATTTTGCATAACCGAAATCTGTTCCCGGATCACAGTCACTCATTTCTGGCTCCAGGATAGACGGCCTGTTGCCACCTTTAGGATGAGCATGGCTCTTTCCCGTCAGCATTACCGCAGCCAGTACTTGAGGCACAGCAGATGGGCCTCGGGTGCTCTGGGACCACCCTCCCCCTCCTCCGCCCACTCCACGTAGACTGGCTTCGGGATGGATGGGTAGAAAATCTATGTGAAAGCTCATCCTCAGATCTTGATCCTTTCCCATTGGCAATGCTTTAAAATTCACTGGTTGTCCACAACTTGTATGTGTCTGTATGTTTTTCTTTCTTTCCTTCTTTTTTTTTGTTGTTTTGTCTTTTTTTTACTTTCTAATCTTTTATTTTTTATTATTAATTACACTTTATTCACTTTGTATCCCCCCATAAACCCTCCTCCCCTCCTAATCCCACCTTTCCTCCCCCTTCTTCATGCATGCCCCTCCCCAAGTCCACTGATAGGGGAGGTCCCCCTCTCCTTCCTTCTGATCTTAGTCTATCAGATCTCATCAGGAGTGGCTGCATTGTCATCTTCTGTGGCCTGGTAAGGCTGCTCCCCCCTCAGGGGGAGGTGATCAAAGAGCAGGCCAATCAGATTATGTCAGAGGCAGTCCCTCTTCCCATTACTATGGAACCCACTTGGACACTGAACTGCCATGGGCTACATCTGTGCAGGGGTTCAAGGTTATCTCCATGCATGGTACTTGGTTGGAGTATGAGTCTCTGGGAAGACCCCTGTGTTCAAATTTTCTGGTTCAGTTCAGTTGCTCTCCTAGTGGAGTTCCTGTCCTCTCCAGATGTTGCTATTTCCCACTTCTTACATAAGATTCCATGCACTCTGCCCAACAGTTGGCCCTAAGTCTCAGCATCTGCTTTGATAGTCTGCAGGGCAGAGCCTTTCAGAGGCCCTCTGTGGCAGGTTCCTAGGTTGTTTCCTGTTTTCTTCCTCTTCTGATGTCCATCCTCTTTGCCTTTCGGGATGGGCATTGAGCATTTTAGTCAGAGTCCTCCCTCTTGATTAGTTTCTTTAGATGTACAGATTTTAGTAGGTTTACCCTATATTATATGTATATATGAGTGAGTATACACCATGTGTGTCTTTCTGCTTCTGGGACAGCTCACTCAGGATGATCCTTTCCCGGTCCCACCATTTACCTGCAAATTTCATGATTTCCCTGTTTTTCATTGTTGAGTGATATTCCATTGTGTAGATGTACCACAATTTCTGTATCCATTTTTCAGTTGAGGGACATCTGGGCTGTTTCCAGCTTCTGGCTATTACAAATAAAGCTGCTACAAACATGGTTGAGCAAATGTCCTTATTGTGTACTTGAGCCTCTTTTGGATATATGTCTAGGAGTGGTATGGCTGGATCTTGAGGAAGCACTATTCCTATTTGTCTGAGGAAGCGCCAGATTGATTTCCAGAGTGGTTGTACAAGTTTACATTCCCACCCGCAGTGGAGAAGGGTTCCCCCTTCTCCACAACCTCTCTAGCATGTGTTGTCACTTGAGTTTTTTATCTTGGCCACTCTGATGGGTGTAAGGTGAAATCTCAGGGTTGTTTTGATTTGCATTTCCCTAATGGCTAATGACATTGAGCATTTCTTTAAGTGCTTCTCTGCCATTTGATATTCCTCTACAGAGAATTCTCTCTTTAGCTCTGTTCCCCATTTTTTAAGTGGATTACTTGGTTTGCTGCTTTTCAGCTTCTTTAGTTCTTTGTATATACTGGATATTAGTCCTCTGTCAGATAAAGGATTAGTGAAGATTCTTTCCCAATCTGTAGGCAGGCGTTTTGTTTTGATGACGGTGTCCTTTGCTTTACAGAAGCTTTTCAGTTTCATGAGGTCCCATTTATTGGTTGTTGATCATAGAGCCTGTGCTGTCGGTGTTCTGTTCAGGAAGTTGTCTCCTGTACCAATGAGTTCTAGGGTATTCCCCACTTTTTCTTCTAACCGATTTAATGTGTCTGGTTTTATGTTGAGGTCTTTGATCCCCTTGGACTTTAGTTTTGTGCAGGGTGATAAGTATGGATCTATTTGCATTTTTCTACATGTAGACATCCAGTTAGACCAGCACCATTTGTTGAAGATGCTATCTTTTTTCCATTGTATGGTTTTGGCTTCTAACACTAACCAAGCAAGTCAAAGACTTGTATGAAAAAAAATTTCAAGTCTCTGAAGAAAAAATTAGTAGAAGATATTAAAAGATGGAAAGATCTCCCATGCTCATGGCTTGGCAGGATTAACATAGTAAAAATGGCCATCTTACCAAAAGCAATCTACAGATTCAATGCAATTCCCATCAAATTACCAACACAATTCTTTACAGGCCTGGAAAGAAAAATTCTCAACTTCATATGGAATAACAAGAATCCCAGAACTGCTTAAACAATCCTCTACAATAAAACATCTTCTGGAGGTATCGCCATCCCTGATCTTAAGCTGTACTATAGAGCAACAGTTATAAAAACTGCATGGTACTGGCATAGAAACAGAATGGTGGAATGGTGGATCAATGGAACCGAACAGAGGACCCAGAAATAAACCCCACACACTTATGGACATCTGATTTTTTTTTTTTTTTTGAGGCAGGGTTTCTCTGTGTAGCCTGGGCTATCCTGGACTCGCTTAGTAGACCAGGTTTGCTCATGGAGATCCACCTGCCTCTTCCTCCCCTAGTGCTGGGATTACAGGCATATGCCACTATGCTCAATATGGCTGTATATTTTTTAAGGAATTGTTTTCGTCCCATCTCAAGTTTTTCCTCTTCACCACTATTTTTAGCCTCAGAATGTGCCACTACTGCCACCTACTGACCTTTTACTGTAAAGATAATTTGTTCAGATTTCTTTGTCTAAAAATTCATCATCATTTAAAATGGTAAATATTTTGACTAGGATCAGAAGGAAGGAGAAGAAGTCCTCCCCTATCAGTGGACTTGGGAAGGGGCATGCAGGCAGAGGGTGGAGGAAGAGAGGGATTGGGACAGGAGGAGGGAGGGAATCACGGGGAGGATACAAAGTGAGTAAAGTGTAATTAATAAAGAAAAATAAAATAAAATAAAATAAAAATATTGTGCTGAAACACCATCATTGGTTTTCAAATATAACAACTTCTGCTTGGCTGTGTGTAAAGTAATAAATGTCGTTGAACTTCACAAAATAAAAAGGAACCAGAAGAAAGTTAATTTCTCCTGTATCCAGAAGAAGGCACCATTTGGAATATGTTTGAGCAATAGTTGAAGTACTCTCCTGTAACTGTCTTTAAGGAGTAGTCCAAGGATTATATTCATAAGGGTTGATGCTAATTTGGTAAACTAAACACATAACCTGAATGGAAATGTATGCACATGTATCCAAGTATGTCTGCCCTTTCCTGAGAAGAACATAAAGCCAGTTCATCTTCTTTAATTAGCCAGGCTTAGAATATGTTTCCTCATGCTGTCTTAATGGAAGATCAGCATGTGACCCTGAGGGGAAAACCTAAGGACTGAGGCTTAGAAGGATCAAGAGGCCAAGAGAGGTGACAAAACTAGTCAGGGCCAAGTCAGTACTCTAACCTGAAAGTGTGACCACGGCTAATGTCCCGCTTGTTCCCTGAGGCACAGCGCCATCCATACACGCTGGTTACCCGGCGTCTTACCAAGCTCCACTTCCAGCGTGTCTGTGACGGGATCCAGGATGTCCGGCTTCAGGTTGATGTCCTTTTCTGAAAGATGGAAATGGAAGTCACTGCTGGTGCTGAGAAGTCGAGGGCCTGTGTGTGGAGGTTGGGACGTCACATCAGCACTGTTTAGGGCTGCGGTGCTTCCTCCTCTCTGTTTCCTTTCCCAGAACTCGTAAATCTGGGAGTTGGGATTTTGCACACAGAAAGCTGCTCCTTCAGGGCTCTGGTGATGGTTCAGTCAGAACGGTGTTGCTTGGAACACACGCACCTGAGTTTGGTCCGGGGAACCCACAAAATTAACCAGAAAAAGTGCATGTCGCACATGCTTGTGACTCTAGCATGGAAGTGCAGCCATGCAGAGACCAGCAGCTCAAGGGCAAGGCAGTGGGCAGTGGGCAGTGGGCAGTGGGCAGTGGGCAGTGGGCAGCGGGCAGCTCGTCTCAACCAATCTGATAGTGTACCTGAGACATAAAACCCAAGTTTGTATTCCAACCTACACACTCACACACACACACACACTCACACACACACACACACACACACTCACACACTCACACTCACACACACTCACACACACACACACACACACACACACAC